GACTGGACTGCAATCACCACCCTTGACCAGACTGCACCAGCACTCTCACCAACAGGTTTTCCCCTCTCCCTTTACTTTGGACTCAGGGGGCCCAAAGAACACCACTCTGTTCATGCCCCAGGGTGCTGGCTTATACATTTGGGTTTTGTGGGTTAAAACCAATTGTTCGTCTGTATAATTGTATTATTTTATTAAATTGTTATTCTGACTTATAATCTCTCTTTTGAGTTGAGTTCATTTCCCCTGCTGGTTTACCTTTAAACCAGCACACACTGGGACCTACTGATGGGAAGCAGAATCAGCTTCTGATCTGCTCCACTGTAACTCTGAATTATTCTTGTGTCCAAAGATCCTGAACAAGGCTGGAGAGGGAAGTAGGAAACCTAGCCCACTGTCCTGGGTGGCTCATGGTGTGGACAACCCTGGAAAGCAAGGCACAGGGCTGGGTTTAACACACCCTGCAGAGCTTGCCACATCCCACGCCCTGACTGCAGGAGCAGTGCCTGTCCTCCTCACTGATGTTGGGATGTTTATGGTCAACATTATGAGAAAAAGCATGGGAGAGGTGGGTGACCTGCCTTGGCTCTGGCGGCAGAACTACGCACCCTGTCCTGCACTCTGCCCCTCCCTGCTCTGTTCCAGCAACTCTGGATTCGGGTCTACCCTTGCCTTGCCCATACTGAGGTACAGAGGCAGCCTCCTGTACATGGCAATATTAATCTGTAGGTTTTCCAGAGCTGAGAGTGCCACAGCGTGAGCGCTCGGAAGCAGACGGCGCTGCTGCACGGCAATCCGTGCCCAAATGCTCCATATCATATCGTACAGCATATGTCTAGAGACAGGCCAACAAATTTAGACCTGGAAACGTGTAGGACTGCCAGGCAGGACTTTGAGGCTGGAAGAGCTTCAAAGAAAATGGAATTCATGTGCTTTGACAGCAGCGCGGTGGTTCTTCAGGTGTTAAGTTTAGTGGGACAGACCCTCCCCTTGAAACGTTACTTAGTCCTAGAAGTGCCTGAAGGTCAAACCTGGCTCAGTCACTTGCACCACTTCAGTATTTATTGATTTGGCTCAAAAACAGAGCTTGCTTGGCTTAGCACAATACACAATATCATGGAATCATGGAATATTCTGAGCTGGAGGGGACCCATAAGGACTATAGAGTTCAGCTCCTGGCCCTGCACAGCACAGCCCCAAGAATCACACCGTGATTCTCATATATCTCCATCTCCTTTTTCATATAGCTCTTTTTGTCTCTTCCTACTCTCTCTGCAGCTTCGTTTTCCCAGTCATTGCCCAGAAACTGCCCTGCAACTGTGGAAAATGCTGTTGCCATCAGATCTTGCTGTGGTCAATGGCACGTGGCCTGGAGCATAAAGGGAATCTCCCATGGAGACTGGTTCCCTGGAGAGGCAGTGCTCTGCCCCTCCTGGTTCCCAGCACAGGTCCTCAGGCAGCAATGCCACCACCCTCTGCTGCCACACACCCTTTGTCCCCATGGTGGTAACCCTCGAGTGCAGCCCAGCCCATGAGCAGCTTGGGGGTGTTGTTTGGTGGCCTGAATGGCTTGTACTGGCCTCAGAAGTGACCTGAATTGTACCCCAGGGGTACCCCAGGGGGTACTGGACTGGTTGCTGTCCCTCCTGGTCATGCAGGCGCTGTCACAGGGCTCCTGCAGCTCCCAGGGCTGTGCCACCAGCAGAGCAGTGCCTGGGCGTGCCCCAGCCTGGCAGTCATGTCCGTCTGCGGGAAGGTCAGTTGAAGTGGGATCAGGGAACCTCATCCCAGCTTCCCTCTGCACCTCCCATCCCTTTGCTCTGTGGGATCTCCTCCCATGTCCCACCCTAAGCCCCTCTGGCAGCACCACCTCCCTGGACTCCCATCCCTCACTTCCACCACAGCAGGGAGCCTTGGGGCTCGCTCTCCCTTGCCTTCCTTCTCTTCCAGGAGCCAGGTGAAACCCAGTAGTTTTTAGGATCTGTGTTGGCAGAGAAGAGCGAGCAGATGGTGCCCCAAAATCCCCACGCCCCTGAGAGCGAGCTAGTGATCATTTCTGAAGCTCTCGAGATCTATTTTTTTCCCAGACCCTGCTGAGCCTGGCGAGGACTGTAACTGCAGCTTGGACTGGCTGGAGAGGGCAATACCCGGATGGGCTCCTCGCCTTTCAGGCTGTAATTGGGCCCTGGCGATACAAAGCACAAAGCTCTTTCCTTCCTGTTTGCCGGGCTCCCTCCGTGAAACCTTCCCCTGCCTGTGCTGGAAAATATGTAAATACCAGGGCACGGGAGAATTGCTCCCTCGTGCCTGCACCACGTCTGAAATACCCATTAAAAATATATGTTCCAAAAAGAGCACCTCTGCACCGAGCACAGACTCTCCTGGCAGTGGGGGGCTGTTTGAAGGGAGCAGGAGGGAGCGGATCAAAGGCAGAAGGGACGGCGCGGCTGTCCCAGCTAAATTAGCAGCAGGGATGGGGGTTTTGGAGACTCCACAGGATCAATAGGACTATCTGGAAATGCCTGGCAGTCACGCAGGAGGGTTGGAATTCAGCAGCGGGGTCTGCAGTGCTGTGCTGCGGCTCGGCGGGCTGTGCCAAGCCTGGGGAGGGATGCACGGAGCCAGGGAAGGGGGATGAGAGGAGGGAGGAAAGGGGCTGCCGGGGCACAGGCTCACACAGCAATAAGCAGGTCTAATGAAGAGCCTTGAGGACATCCACCTCCCCCAGCACCAGTGGGATGGGGCTCTGGCGGTGTCACCTCCCTGCCCGTGTCTGTGAGGTCCTGCCCCTGCTCGGGGTATGGTGTGACTGGTGAGGACAGCAGGGAGCTCACATGCATCCTCCTGGCCTCTGCCTCACAGCCATGGGCAACAAATTCGTTGCAAAATCTCCCCTTCAGCAAGGCAGGGGCCAACAAATTGTCTCAAAGACCCCATGTGATGTAGAAGCACAACGTGGCTTTTCTGGGAAGCCTGACAGGGCTCAGAGGATCTGAGAGATGAGGGCTGGTGATGCCTCTAGTCCTGGTCTCCTCCAGAAACACCCCTGGGGATGGGGCTGGGGGAGCCACTGGGCAGATCTCCTCCAGAAACACCCCTGGGGATGTGCCTGGGGCTGGGGGAGCCACTGGGCAGAGTCTCTGCTCTCCAGGCTGGGCACTGGGATCTCTCACAGCTCCAGCCGGTGAGAAAGGGCAACCCACAGAGACATTTTCTTCTTCTTCAAAGGAATTCAGTGTTTGGCTGGAGTGTTCAAAGGAGATTTAAAAAGAGAAGATAAAAAAGAAAGTTAAAAGCTGCCCAGTGAGGGGCGGAAATGGGAACGTGGGGAGAGATCAGGGGCAGCGCCGGCAGCAAAGCAATGTCAGGGCACCGAGAGAGGATGAGGAGAGCCTTCATCCCACAGCTGCCCAGCCAGGGCACCGATCCCCATCCTCCAGCATCTGCATCTGTCGTGGCCATCTGCAAGCTGAGGCTTGGCATGTCCAGAGCCCTGGAGAGCCCTGAGGCTGCGGGAGGAGTGGGGCTGGAGGCCGGGGGTGGTGGGTGAGCCTGGTGGGAGAGGGGAGCCGTGCTCAGGGGACTGGGACCAGCAGCGTGGGAAGGGTGGGATGCAGCGGGGATGCAGAGCAAGACACCGGGAGGGAAAATGTTAATCAACCGCAGTGCCTCCCTGAAAGGAGCCAAATGTAAATGAGATAATTAAGCTATTATTTAAAGCCGGGAGACGGTGGGGACAGGCCCGGGGTGGCCGGACTGCATTTTAATCAGCTGCCTGGCTGGGGCTGGTGAGTTCCTGCTGGTGGTGCCCCTGCCTCTGCATCCCGGCCTCTGCATCCCTGCCTGGGCTGCCAGGCTCCTGGGGTACTGAGCAGCCCCTCTGTGAGCTGCTGCCACCCTGTGCCCCCTCTGCCCAGCCACTGCCATCCCATGTCCCAGGGTATCCAGCCAGGCCAGGGGGCAAGGGGTCCAGGTGTGGAGGTACCTACACCTGTGTTACCACATTTCTGTGGGTTTTTTTTCAGGCTGCAGGAGTACCTCAGGTGCCTCAGTTTACCTGAGTTTACCAAATAGCTCTCACTATTTTGGACGCTAAAAAGTACTAAATGAGAATAAGCAGCGGTGGTCCATGCAAGGAACACAAATGCTCCAGCAGTGTTGTCTGGACTGACCTCAAAAGGCTTTGGGAGCCTTTTTTTCACCCTCTAATGTGGAGTTACTGTGTGACCTGAAGAAATTTAAATAATTGCCCTGTGGCTCGGTTTCCCCACCTCTGGAAGCAGCACTGAGGTTTGGAGGAGCTCTCGGCACAGTGGGAAGCTCCAAGGTCACTGGTGAGCTGCCACGAGCCAGCAAATGTGGCAGGACAGGATTTTCTTCCTGCATTTCTTTGTTTTGGTCAGGAATGGAAAAGAAACAATGACATCCAAATGTATCCACGACAAGGAGTGTGCATTTCTTTGTTTTGGTCAGGAATGGAAAAGAAACAATGACATCCAAATGTATCCACGACAAGGAGTGTGAAGTCCTTTTGTTCCATGTCACTGGGACCATCCTGGCTGGTGGTGGGAGATTCGGCTCCTTTCCAGAGACCTCTGAACATCAGGGAGAAAAAGGGTGATTGTTCACTCCTTTTATCATA